CCAAGCCTGTCCTCCCCGTCTCCCTGCAGACCAGGGAGACGGGGAGCAAAGCCACGGAGCACGCCCGCAGGGGGACAGCTCAAGCACGCCCGGGCTGTCCCGCTGCGGGCGTGCTCCAAGGCTTTGCTCCCAGTCTCCCTGCAGACCACGGAGACGGGGAGCAGCTTTTCTCGCCCCGGAGGACGGGGGCGGCGGACCACGGCGCATCTGGGCGTCCCGCCGCTCCCGTCCTCCGGGGCGAGAAAAGCCCCGTTCGTAACTGCGGATCCAACATAAGTCGGATCCGTGTAACTTGGGGACTGCCTGTAGTAATTTCATCTAGACTACATGCTCCTAGTTTGTAAGGGCCTCTCTCTGCTAGGCCACTAATCCTCTTGTAGAAGTCTTTTGGTCTGAATTGACTTGATTTATTCCTCACAAATTCACACTGGCTTGACTATTCCTCATCATTCTTTTATCCCCTACATGCTATGAATTGGATTTAGTTACTTTTGGTGTCTTTCTAGGCTCACTGGTTACAATTGCTCTGATCTTCTTTCATACCTTCAAGATCTATGAGGGGAGGGCTATTATCTTCAATCTCTGTGTGTGTCTAACCTTAATCCTGAGCTGTTGCTTCCATAACAACTGTATTTAAAATGTGCTGCAAAGAAAGATCTCCCACGTGATCTCAAAATTCCTTTTCTGTGCAGGGAAACGGAACTGCATGGGAGAGGGCCTGGCTCGCATGGAGCTCTTTTTGATACTCACGGCGATTTTACAGAACTTCACTCTGAAATCCGTTGTTCAACCCAAAGATATTGATATTATTCCAGCAACAGCATCTGTGGGCAATCATCCAAAACCATCTGAGCTCCGTGTTCTTTGTCGGTAAAGGTTACCTCAGTACACGGGGAGTGCATGTGGTAGGCACAGAAATGCAGTGTCTATACACAGCAGAGGTAGATGCACCACTGAATGCTGGGGTTGTGTTGGCCTCACCTCTTCCCTTTTCTACCCCCCAAGCTAGCAGAAATTCTTACTATGGTTCATGCAGGTTCCAGGGTGGCTGGGAAGGCTTTATCTGCTTTTTGGCTCTCTCAGTGCCTTAGAATCATAGAATAATAGGACTGGAAGGGACCTCGAGAGGTCATCGAGTCCAGCCCCCCGCCCTCAAGGCAGGATCAAGCTCCGTCTACACCATCCCTGACAGATGTCTATCTAACCTGTTCTTAAATATCTCCAGAGAGGGAGATTCCACCACCTCCCTTGGCAATTTATTCCAATATTTGACCACCCTGACAGTTAGGAATGTTTTCCTAATGTCCAATCTAAACCTCCCCTGCTGCACTTTAAGCCCATTACTCCATGTCCTGTCCTCAGAAACCAAGAGGAACAAATTTTCTCCTTCCTCCTTGTGACACCCTTTTAGATATTTGAAAACCACTATCATGTCCCCCCTTAATCTTCTTTTTTCCAAACTAAACAAGCCCAGTTCATGAAGCCTGGCTTCATAGGTCATGCTCTCTAGACCTTTAATCATTCTTGTCGCTCTTCTCTGTACCCTTTCCAATTTCTCCACATCTTTCTTGAAATGTGGCGCCCAGAACTGGACACAGTACTCCAGCTGAGGCCTAACTAGCGCAGAGTAGAGCGGCAGAATGACTTCACGAGTTTTGCTTACAACACACCTGTTAATACAACCTAGAATCATATTTGCTTTTTTTGCAACAGCATCACACTGTTGACTCATATTCAACTTGTGGTCCACTATGACCCCTAGATCCCTTTCCGCCATGCTCCTTCCTAGACAGTCGCTTCCCATCTTGTATGTATGGAACTGATTGTTCCTTCCTAAGTGGAGCACTCTGCATTTCTCCTTATTAAACCTCATCCTGTTTACCTCCGACCATTTCTCTAACTTGCTAAGGTCATTTTGAATTATGTCCCTATCCTCCAAAGAAGTTGCAACCCCACCCAGTTTGGTATCATCTGCAAACTTAATAAGAGTACTCTCTATCCCAATATCTACATCATTGATGAAGATATTGAACAGTACGGGTCCCAAAACAGACCCTTGAGGAACTCCACTTGTTATCCCTTTCCAGCAGGATTTAGAACCGTTAACAACAACTCTCTGACTACGGTTATCCAGCCAATTATGCACCCACCTTATCGTGGCCCTATCTAAGTTATATTTGCCTAGTTTATCAATAAGAATATCATGCGAGACTGTATCAAATGCCTTACTAAAGTCTAGGTATATGACATCCACCGCGTCTCCCTTATCCATAAGGCTCGTTATCTTATCAAAGAAAGCCTTGGACTACCCGTAGCCGTACTAGTGAACCTGGGGAGCGGTGCCCCAGAACCTGCATGGAATATAAAAGCTCAAGTTCACTCAGTCACTTCCAGCTGCTGCACTTTTCTCCAGCAGGAGATGCCGGAACACGCCCAACCCCGCCCTCTGGAGAGCCCAGGTGCTGTGCTGCTTCCTTTGCAGGTTCCTTCCCCTCCTCCCTACAGAGCTCCCTAGCCATTGGGCCCCTCACCCATCCTCTCTCCCTGCGTGGCTGCTGGGCACCCCTCCCAGCTGCTAAGGAAGCTAAATTGTCTGAATAACAAGCCTTGAGGATAAGGGGGAAGCAGTAGATGTGCTGTACTTAGACATAAGAAAAGCACCTAATACAGTCGCGCATGATCTTCTTAATAATAAACTAGGGCAATACAGTGTCAGTGGGGGGCTATTATAAGGTCATTGAATAACCGGTTGCATAACCACTCTGAATGAGTCATTATCAATGATTCGCAGCCATGCTGGAAGGGCATAATGAGTGGGGTTGTGCAAGGATCAGTTTTGGGACCGGTTCTGATCAATAGCTTCATCAACCACTTACATGATGGCATAGAGAGAACGCTTGGAAAGTTTGCAGATGATCCCAACCCAGCAGGTGTTGCAAGTGCTCTGGAGGACAGAGTCATAATTCAAAATGATCTGGACAAACTGGAGAAATGGTCTGAGGTAAATAGGTAAAGATCAATAAAGAGAAAGGCAAAGTGCTCCGCTTAGGAAGGAACAATCAGTTGCACAAGCACAGAAGGGGAAGGCTGTGTAGGATGGAGTCCTGCAGAAAGGGATCTAGGGGTCAGAGTGGACCTCAGGTACGAGCCAACAGTGTGATACTGTTGCAAAAAAAAGGAAACATTCGTGGAGGCCTTAACAGGAGCGTTGTGAGCAAGACATGAGAGGTGATTCTTCCGCTCTGCTCTGTGCTGATTTGGCCTCAACGGGAGTCAGATTCCAGCCATTTTCTTCCTCTCAGGGTGCAAATTCCCGGGGAGGAGAAGCCTGACACTTTGTTTTACTGGGTGGAGAAAGGTGCGCACACAGGGGATTTTTTTTTTTTTTAAGGCCAACATTTATTGAATACTCAATCATATTCATCAAATAAACTAAAGAAGCTAAAACTTAACTAAATTTATTTTTTTTAAAAAATTAACAACTAAACTTTGCTTAAAAAATGCAAACTGAAGTATGGGCTTAAGACAGGGTTGTCCAAACTTTTTTCAAAGAGGGCCAGATTTGATGAAGTGAACATGCGTGAGGGCCGACCATTTTGCCTGACATTCTTTGAACCATTAAAATTAAATGCAAATTAACTATTTTATGCAAAGTTTATTGCAAACGGCATACTTTTAATTTCGTCACATGGATGACAAATCTAAACAGGTGTTAAATCACTCTGCCTTTCATATCTGAAGGCCAGATGAAAAAAAAAATCCAGGAAGCTGAAATATATGTCAGGAACATTGTAAAGTACATTACATATTATTGGTAATAAAGGTTGTCTGTCAACTTTTAAGTTCAAAAAATATGAACAGGAACATAACACCAAGTATACATGTTGTGTCCAAATATATTTATAACTGATTTAGACCAACTGACTTTAACTGAGATTTTACAATGTATTCATCTCAATACATATGGATTCGTTGGGGGCCATAAAAGATAGATATTGCCAAATTACCCGGGGGGCCGTATTAAACCGGAACACGGGCCGCAATTGGCCCGCGGGCCGGACTTTGGACATGCCTGGCTTAAGATGTCGGGCTCGACATCTTGCTTTGATTGGCAGAGTTTCTGTGGCTTGACTAGACCTAGAATTCTCCCTGCCCTGCTCATTCATGCCATTTAAAGGAAGCGCAGTGTTAACACAGGGAAGCAGGGTCTGAATCGAGGACTCAAGCCTCCCGTTCGCATGCCCAACCCTTCTCTGCAGCCCCCATTCACAGTCACCAGCCTCGGTCAGTGCAGACCTGGAGTTCCGAGGTCCCTCTGCAGAATTCACTTCCCACCCTGGGCAGGGGGTAAAGAGGAATCTCACTCACTCCCATAGCTGCTATCTGGCTGCCTCCTTCCTGCTCTCCACCACCCTTCTGGGGGGACAGGTCTCCCATCCAGCAGGGCGCACACCTCAAGAGTCTGCTGAAAGAATGGTTCAAACTGTTTCTCTCCAGTGTTCAAAGAACAGCTCTGAATACCAGTCGGGTGAAGCCTCCTTTTGTTATTTTTTCATTTCTCAGAGCTAAAACCATGTGTGGCTGGGCTGCATTTGTGCCCAGAGCTAAAATCACTGATAGTTGATATCACTTGAGAAGAGTCGGTGGTTCAACCCATACTGCGAAGGAGCTGGAAATCTCTATGATTCCGACAAAGTGGGTTGTGCCAGCAAAAGTGCATGACACGACCTAGATTTTCGGTTAGTCTCTAAGGCAGTGGTCTCCAACCTTTTTACACCCAAGATCACTTTTTAAGTCTCAGAACAGGCGAAGATCTACCGCCCCGCCCCTTCCTTGAAGCCCCGCCTACATTACATGAGGAAATCTAATGTAAATGTACTGCGCAGGTGCGCAGTTCAGAGAGGGCTCAAGAGCTACTCTTGGAGCCCCTGAGATCTACCGGTAGATCGTGATCTACTGGTTGGTGACCACGGCTCTAAGGCTATGGCTACGCAGCATCATTATTTCGGAATAATTGATGTTATTCTGAAATGATATCGTCCGTGTCTACCCAGCAAGCCATTATCTCAACATAATGTCGAAATCACGTCAAGCTGGAGGACTTCTTACTCTGACTCCTGTAACCCTCATTTTACGAGGAGTAAGGGAAGTCAGAGGAGGGGTGCTCTAACTCAGACTTGCTGCTGTGTAGACTGCGCAAAAGGCCGGAAGAAGCTATTTCTAAGTTACGCAATTGACATAGCTGAAGTTGCGTAGCATTTTTCGGCTTTAGCTCTGCTGTGTAGATGTCCCCTGAGATGCTGCAAGACCATTTGTTGTTTTTTAAGGTTTTTTATTATTCTGATGTGCAGTGACCAGAGCAGAAAGGCAGGTGGTAGGAAAGCTGATGTACAGTCAGCTGGTTAAAGAGTGGCCAGCAAGGCAGTGGCAGAAGGACATGACCAGTGGCAAGTGACATGGGAGCCAAAGCTGCTCAGGGATCTGGGAGCCTAAGAAGGTCCCGGTCCTCAGCCAGTCACCAGGAGATGTGCTGCAATCAGCACATTCCTGTGAAGTGCTTCACTTTTTGGCTGAGGTCACAGAAAAAGGGGTCCTTGCACTTGAATTCTAGGAAGCTTCTTTTCTGGCAGATCACCAGGAAATCAACACTCTCCTGTGAAATGCTTCACTTCCCATAAATGGGCATTTTCCACTGCCTCTCCCCCCCCCTGCCGGACCTCAGAACACGTGTACACTCTGGATGTAAAATGCAACCCCTCCTCCCTGGGTACTCTGCCGGTCCTTCCTGCACACCTCACAACCCTCCTCACCAGTGCTCCACCCAGAAGATGTACCCACCACGTCTCTGGGATGCCAGAGAAGGCGTTACTCCATTTTGTAGCAACTCCCCCACTTCTCCCCTTCCCTCCCACTTCTCCTGCCACTTGGGTGCAGACACCTGAGATGTCGAGTAGAGACTCCCACCATGTTCCCGCTTGTTACTCCTAATAAGCTGTTGTAACTCATCCCTGGTACTTAGCCCTCTCTTAGGGTCGCCTTTTTCATGCCTCTCTGTGGGCGTTGTCACCTGCCCCTTTGTGCGTAGTTGAGAGCCCGTCTGGCTGGAGTAGTGAGTGATGGCAGAGATTCCCTTCCCCTTCTCGGTCAGGAGGACGCCACCTCTTTCCAGCAGACCATGTTCCCAGAAGAGCATCCCATGATGGGGGAACCCAGAACCCGCCTGTGGGCCCATCTGCTCCGCCATGCGCTCCTCTGTCCCAGGGATGCATGTTGCTGTCTCAGGAAAAAATAGAGCGAGGGCCCGAGAAGCCCTGGTGCTGCAGCACTTCTGCAAGTGGACTGTGTAGTGCTGGAAAACCTGGCTGCCAAGCTCCTTGCAAGTTGGACAGCTGACAAGCCAGGCACTCAAGTTACTACAAAGTCGGGATCTTAGGAGCCCTGGCAGGTTGTGAGAGCGACGTGGGCGGCTGAGCAGGCAGGGAGCGAGGCAGAGATGTCACCAGTGACACATTCCTGTGAAATGTTTCACTGCTGGGCAATCAGCGTTTCTATTGGAGAATTTCCAACCAGTTCTATCTGGTGTCATGGGGTGGCTTCCTACACTAGCTCTGAGTGGGGATGTATGGTGCAGTAGGGGCCTATTAATCTTAGATGATGCATGTGGAGGTGATGCAGGGCCTGACAGAGCAGGTGGAGCCAGTGCGAACATGAAGAGGTTAGAAATCAGGGGCAAGGAGGAAATCCAGGGGGAGGAATCCCTGACTTCTGCCCTGGACTGGGGAGTCTGACAAGCAACCTAGGAGGCTGAGGAAGCTCTGGTGCTGAAGCCAGAGAAGGAGCAATGGGGTGGGAACGAGCACAAGGAAACAATAACTGGAGCTTGCTAGTCACAGAGAGCTGGGCTGGAACGCGGCCCAGTCTCGAGGTGGGAGCTCTGGCGTTGGAGCCGGAGGCTGCCTGACACAACATCTTGTCTGAGGGGAATTTGTCTCGCTGAAACAGGAGGACAATATGGCGACCTGTCCCGAGGGCCCAGTCTCGAGGCGGGAGCGCTCTGGGGGTCTGTACACCCCCACTTCACCCTTCCTAACCATGACTTGACTCTCTCTGCCCCCATTTCACCACACCGTTGTCCCCTTCTGCCTCTCATGCCAATCTCTGCATGCACCCTACTGCCCCTTCCAGCTGAGCCTTCCCAATCCCCTTCCCTCCACCATTCTTACATTCCTTTTTTTCCTTCCGCGCCCCTTTCTTCTCTTTCCGGGCGCCAACCTCTGAAATCTGCATCCGAGGGATCGGCAGAGCTGTAATGAGGGCGGGGTGATGCCAGAAGGTGCTAATGGCGACCCTCCGCTGGTACCTTGCCCTGTGGAATATTACGGAGGTGGCAGAAGCTCTTGGCTTTGCCAATCAACGCTCAGGGGCTTTGTGTGCCCCCCATGTCGCCCTTTTGTGGTTTCCAGTTTTCCCTCCAGTTAGTAGGGTTCTGCCCACTGGGGCCTGGCACCGTTCACTGGAACGTGGGAGTCTATTGGAAGCAGCGTTGAGGAGCGATCGGGTTGCAGACAAACAGACGCCTACGGATGAGTGCCTGGCACCGCTTCACTCCGCGCGTTATGTTGGTCTGGCCTTGGGTAATCAAGGCATGGGTTTATGGACGGACAAGGCCACTCACCTCACCCACCGAAAGGCCGTTTACCTGACTGCTCTGCTCCCCAGCCGTTGAGCAACAGCCCCGGGTGCCTCTGTGACGTGCAGGCAGGAGCCGGTGCTCTCGCGTCACATCTCGGGTGCAGTGTGGGGAGGGAAGCGCCGCCCCGACGGGGTCTACACACCCGGCCAGGACACGGGGTTAATCTCCCCCTCTACTTGGAAAGCGAAGGAGGTCTCCCCGTGGGACACCCCAAAAGGACGATGGGAGTGGAAACCTGGAGGGAATTGCTCCACTGCAGCTCCTGGTGGTGGACTCTGCCCTGCTTGGCTGCTGCTTGCCCTGGGCTGGATTTCCCCCATGCTGGGCTGCTGAGAGCAAGCCTCTTGTCTCAACCCTCACTCCTGATTGGACAGTGGTGCTGGTAGTGTGGGGGCACAATGGGGACGGGTAGGGCAGAGGGGTTGGCATCAGCTCAGCTCTCCCGATGTAAAAGGGGGATAAGAACACCCCCTTTCTCCCACCCTTCATCCAGCCTGTCTAGATTGTAAACTCTTTGAGGCAGGGGTGTATGTACAGCCTCTAGCACAGCTGTGCCTGTCTCACCTGGGGCTATTTCTAGCCCTGGTATCACAGGTTTCCCACGTCCCTCACTGGTCCCGTGCTGGCTGCAGAGCCTCCTTTCAGCACAAGGGCTCGAGCCGATCTGCCCAAATGCTCCAGGTCTCCCCTCGCCTGGGCCCCTGCACAAGGCCAGCAGGGTGCTCACCCTGCCTGACACCCAGCGGGGGCAGCTGTAGCTAAATTGGTGCACGCAGAACACCCACGTCCTGGGACACGCGTCCTTCGGAGCTGGCAATGCCACCCCACCTCTGTGAAGGTGGCACCAAGCTGGAGTTGCGTGTCTTACCCCAGCTTCCAGGTCGAGTGTAGACCTGGTCTTAGAGAAACTCCTCAAGCAATGGAGGTGGCATTCAGGTCATTTGGGTGATGTTAGACCTTAGCTACTCAATGGGAGACTGTACCTTGGAAAGCAGTTAAAGAATTTAGGGGTCACAGTAGCCAAATCACTCCCTACAAGCTCCATTGTGACTCTGTAGCAGGGATGGGCAAAAACCAGTCCACAGGCCAGATCTGGTCGCTGAGGGTTAGCTCCTGGCAGACCCCCACTGTTGTATTTACAAGCTGCAGGTACCAGCGATCTGAGCTCCTGTTGGCCCCTGATCACCATTCCCAGCCAATGGGAGCCACGGGAAGAGGTGTTCTACTGTTCCCAGCCAATGGGAGCCACAGAAAGAGGTGTTCTACTGTTCCCAGCCAATGGGAGCCACGGGAAGAGGTGTTCTACTGTTCCCAGCCAATGGGAGCCACGGGAAGAGGTGTTCCCACTGCTCCCATTGGTTGGGAACAGCAATTCGCAGACAACAGGAGCTGTGTTCACTGGTACCTGTAGCCATGCAGGTCAGTATAATGGCGATGGCCCGCCAGGAGCTACCTCTGATGAACTGAGGCCATTTTCTTGCCCACCCCTGCTCTATGGCATTAAGATTTTGTGTGGGCCTCCAGAGTACTCCAGGGGCGTAGTGAATAGGAGTAGGGGTATGATTTGCCTGGCTGTAAGGTGTTGGTGAGACCAGCAACAGAATACTGTGTCTCACTGAGCGTCCATCTGTCTGCTAAATCCGGGAGAAAAACATGAAAAGGAGTCCTTGCTGTACATGGATAATGTTCCAGTGGGCAGCACTGTGAGGCGTGTTTCACCACATGGGTGGGAGGAGAGGGTGGCGTTATGCTAATCTGGGTAGTTTCGCAGGGATTCAGTTTATGATTAATTGTCATGCTCCGAGAATGAGTTCACAAGGGCAAAAGGGGGGGGGGCGGGAATTAATAAAATTCAAAGGAGTTTGTCCCTAGTGTCACAGCTCCGGTCACTTTTGTTAGCCCAGAGTTTATCTCGTTAATGCAGACAAACTAAGAGCTCCTATTGGCTAACTGCCTGGCCCCACTCTTGGTGTGTGCAGTATAAAAAAAAGGGAATTTGTTTTTCCTTTGCTTGATCCAGCCAGAATCCAGAGCTATTGCTACACCCGACAATGGAACCGCTAGGAGCAACCACGGTGTTCCTGGTCATTTGTGTCTCTTGCCTTCTCTTCCTCTCTGCGTGGAGAAAGACGCCTCGAAAGGGGAAGCTGCCGCCCGGCCCTGTGGCTTTTCCCATCATTGGGAACATGCTGCAGCTCACGAAGACAAATTTGCCCCAGCATGTACTGGAGGTAAGGGAGTTTTCTCAGTTCCCATTGCTGGGGTGTTAGCAGCCAACCTCTGCCACCGATTCCAGGTGTGATCTTGGGCATGTCGCGTAACCTCTCTCTGCCTTAATTTCCCATCTGTAAAACTGCTCTAATGATATTTGCTTCCATCACAAAAGGATGGTAAGGCAGAAAATGCAGCTCAGCGTGGGATAAATGATGCTACTGAAACGCATGTTCTGGCATTTTAGCCAGCTCTGCAAACAACCTGGGATTTTACAGACAAGTTGGAATCTTTCCATCCTGTGAATGGTCACAAATAATGAGGGGTGCACAGGACAAATTCTACTGCCTGGTATAACTGTTCACCTTCATTCTCTGCTCCCCCATGCCCTCAGATACTTGTGTCTGTTGTTTTGCACCGGTGTGATCAGTTGGAAAGTGGACAGTAATTCTGCAGGGGATATAAAAGGGGAAACAGAATCTCACTTTTCTCTGTGTTTGGCTCTAAAGGGCCGAGAGGAGTAAAGTGAAGGGAAACTCTTCTCATTGCAAAATTAGCTGGCATGACTGAGTAAATGCAGGCCCCTTTCTGTGGAGTTAGAAGGGTCAGTTTTACATAGCGCTCAAGGTCAGCATAGAACGTTCCCATAATGCAAGCTGCTGTTATAACGAGGGAATTGTACAACAGTGATAGAATTATCCTGGGAACACACAGACTCACACACACACACACAGATGGGGAGAAATGTTTAAAATTCATGAGTTTAACACCATGATGTACGGAAAAGTCAGGCAGTCCCAGTGCCTAACGCTCACTGAAATCAGTGGCGTGAAACTCCTAAATACCTTGGAGGATCATGGCTGAAAAGGCCAAGTCTGGGCATTGATCAGTGGTCAGAATTGGCCAGTATTAGCTGAGTGGCAGAAAAGTACTTGTATAATTTGATCTACTCCCCCCATTCTTACCCTTTCAGAAGTGGGTCTAAGTTAACACACATTGGTCTTTTTGTTCAATTTTGACAGCTCAGTAGAACGTACGGCCCAATTTTCACGATCTACTTGGGCTCCGAGCGGGTTGTAGTGCTGCATGGATATGAGATTCTGAAGGAAACTCTGATCGGCCTTGCAGATGAGTTCAGTGCAAGAGGACGGATGCCATTATTTGAAAAAATGGCCACTGAATCAGGTACATTTCAAATAATTTCCATGTACGGAGCTGCTGTTCTCTGTGTGGGGAGAGCCCAGTGGAGAAGAGAAGAGCTGAAGAAGAACAGGAGTTTCATTAATACAGGAGTAAAATCTGGATAAATGCTTTTGGATCCAGGCAAGAGCCCATCAGGACTGGCCTTACCATGAGGCAAACTGAGGCAGATGCCTCAGATGCCAGACTGGGGGGAAAGGGGGCGCCACTAGGACCCAGAGTATAGAAAATTGTGTCTGCTGCTGGTGCAGATGTATTCTCGCTGCGCTAGATGCACAGAGATGGAGGAGTGCCATGAGAGGAGTAGAACAGGAAGAAGGCAGAATTGAGACCTTTCAAAGTTTTGGCCCAAGCGAGGGGCGCACGGGGGCATCATTTGAGCTCCCTGCCTCAGGTGCCAACATATTGTGAGCCGACCCTGGAGCGCATTCCCCATTGCACCTCTGGTTCTCTGCCATGAACAGTTCCTAGCCTCTCACTACAGGTTTATGAGGAGTAGCAGCTGGGCCAATCTACCTTACAAGCCCCAGAATACAGCCAGAAGGCAGGGCTGGACTGGCAGACAGAGTCAAAAGAAACCATGAATTCTTCCTCCCCTGTCCCCACTAACTAGGTATATCCAATGACCAGGGAAGGGCTTTTTTTGTTGTTTTACCCTTTCATAATAAAAAACGAGGGAAGGAGTAATAAATATGGAAGCACCACGAAACCCGTTTCAGGAAGTCTTTATCGGATGGATGTATTAAGTTGAAGTGCAGTTACATGGAAAATGCAAGTGTCTGTAGAAACAGCCTTCAGCACTGAGGCTGCAAAGGCACGCACAGCACAGTTAGGAAATGTAGAATTCCAGTTTTCCAGTGCAACTGCCCAGACATCTGAGGCAAGGGAGTAACTGATATCAGCCGACAGTTTTCATCTCACAGATGGCTCACAGGGGCACGGAGGCACTGGTGCATGCCTAGGGAGGATAGAATGTTTGGACATTTTAGCTGTTAAATTCTACGGCGTCTCTATTGTGTGAAATAGGAATTTTTTTTTTGCAAGGTTTGTAACTTGAGCATGTTATGGAAAGCCACTGAAGATACAGCAGGCTATAAACATGAAGTGGGCAAGTCATAGGTCTGAGGTAGTGGGATAATGAAGGAGAGAGGGAGTCACCGGGGTGTCTTATAAACAGCTGCGATGGGCCAAAGAACAGCCCAACTCGTAAGTGTGAGCCTCTTTTGCAGCCTGTCTTACCTTGCTTTGAGCCTGGACAAGCTGCAGACCTAGGAAGAGATCAGTGCAGCTTGAAATCTTGTCCCTTCCACCAACATAAGTTGGTCCGATACAAGATTCAGACTCCCCTAACTTGTCTGTGTCATATCCAGAGTCCAACCCAGCACAGCAATGCTGCAAACAGTACTTGCAATGTTGCTGTAATGCCGTCTCCCTGGGAGAACACAGACACAGTATCTGCTAAGTTGAAGTAGAACCTTTGGCTCAGCAACATTTGGGTGTTTGCCAGACAGGCAGATCATGGCTGGCCCTCCCTCCTTTCATGACTGTTCTCTACCCCTTTCCAGGTATTGTTTTCAGCAATGGGGAACGGTGGAAGCAGCTCCGGCGATTTATCCTCACTAGCCTGAGAAATTTTGGGATGGGGAAGAAAAGCATTGAGGAGCGGATCCTTGAGGAAACCCGTTTTCTGATGGAAAGACTCAGAAACACGCACGGTGAGGGATTGTTTCTTGTCTGAGGAGAAACACGACTCTTCTCTTTCCATTTTTCGTGATGTTAATTGTTTGGTTCAAACATCTTACAACTCAAGCCATTGACCACACCTGTAACAACCTATACTAATGTCATGGGAAAGGATTTGTGATGTATGCCAGAGATGACCCCTTGTGGTTGTTGCTTTGTCACATTTGTCCGCTGTGATGGGTGACCAAAGTGCAAATGAAAAATATTTGTCTAGAGTGCATAGACACTAACACAGTGAGTGGGAGAAGACCAGGTTAGTGCCAGTGTGCTGGGTTAACAAGCTACCTATAACTACAGTTTGCTAATTCTCATTTTCTTCTCTGCTCAGTGGCTGTTGCATGCTTAGAACCTACGTTCTCAAGTGAACGGCTCCATGGGAACGTTTGAAATCCCTGTGTAAATGTACAGCGCTTCATAGATGACACCCATTCTCTTTATCTTATTCCTCTCTATTGTGTGTGGAACACAGGGCCTTCCCTGGTCTCCTCCTCGAGACTTGGCTGCTTCCAGTGTCAATCTGACAACTTACAATTCTGCTTATATTGTGCATGTTCGTGATCTGAGGAAGTGGGTCTGGCCCACGAAAGCTCATCATCTAATAAACCATCTTGTTAGTCTTTAAAGTGCTACATTGTCCTGCATTTTGCGTGTTACTTAGGGTCTTCCTTATTGCCTCTTGCTTGCTCCGGGGAATCAGTCCAACTCCTGCCTGACTCTATTATTCAAGGGGGTTGTTTTTTTTGGGTTTTTTGTTTGTTTGTTTGTTTGTTTAGGTATGTTCTAGCCATCCCCATTTTCATTCCCGGATTTCTGGTCCCATCTGTTTGTGTTTCATTTTCCTCCAGGGTTTTTCACTTGTGGTTTCCCTCCTCCTTCCCCATCTGCTGCTGAGGATCTGTCTAAGGCCGTTGTTTATGAGAACTTGCAGGCAGGTCTCAATACGTCTCCAAGTTTCAGCACAATTCAGGGAGACTGATTTGACACAGATGCTAAAGATTTGAGGTTTAGTTGGCAGGGTAAGATTTCTCCAGACTGGCTTTAGAGTTACAAGGGTATGTCTGGCTTTTGCTCTTCTTCCTTTCATGTCTCAGGCTACGTCTAGACTGCCCGCCTTTTTCAACAGAGGCTTTTTCGACAGTATCTTTTGAAAAAGCCTCTGTCAGAAAAGAGCGTCTAGACTGCAACCACTTCTTTCGAAAAAGCGAATCACTTTTTCAAAAGAGAGCACCCAGTGGTCTGGATGCTCTCTTTCGAAGCCCTCTTTGCATTCAAGAATGCCTTTTTTTTGGAAAGAGCACTTTTGAAAAAAGGCATTCTTCATCATAAAATGAGGTTTACCGCTGTCGCCAAAACCGCCGTGTTCTGTCGATTTACTGTCGACAAAATGCAGTGGTAGTCTAGACGCAGGTATAGTTTTTTTTTTTTAAAAGCCACTTTTTTAAAAAAAAAACAACCTGTAGTCTAGACATACCCTCAGTGTCTTCTTTCTTCTGTGCCTGAGAGGCCACCGAGATATGGAAATATCAGAGCTCTTCAATGTCATGCCTGTGACCTTCCTAAATTGATTGATTCCCCAGGGCATATTGCAGTGAGCCCCACCTTGATTCTTGCCCTGTGGGGAATGAAAACAGACTCCTTCTCATTTTGATTTGCTCCAGGGCGGCCCTTTGACCCCACCCTCTTCCTCACCCACGCCGTGTCCAACATCATCTGCTCCATCATCTTCGGGGACCGGTTTGACTATGAAGATCAGAAATTTGTCACTTTAATCAACATCATAGAGGAAAATGTCAATCTTCAGCGCTCTCGCTGGACAGCCGTAAGTTCAGGACTTGGTTTTATTCCTATTGATTGTCCTGGGGGAGGGGACAGAGATTTCTTTAACTATTAATTTCCCTTAAACAAGTATTATTTCAGCTTCCCTTAATGATCTTATGCTCCTCATTAGGCTGCAGCTAAGCTGTTCCTCGAACTTCTTTCTCAAAGTTTTTTGAATTCCCTCACAAAAGATTTCATTAGCTCAGAATTTAGTTTGCTCAAGGACGTTCTCTGTCAACACAATTAGAAATCATCAGTAAAAATACTGAGACCAACACCAATCACCATCCGCACCCGCAGTGCCTACGCAATGTGATACAGGAATGTGAGTTAATCCCTCTCCCCAAAGCATTTCAGCCACCAAACACACATACACACACCCATTCCTGGAAACTTTACCAACTGCATGACAAAGGGTCAAACTCCCTGCTGGCATCACTCAGTCTAAATCAAAGGAGTTGCACCACTCGCACTCACTGCCACCTCAGGAAGTGGCTCTAGAATCTACTTTTCTTTTAAAGTCTATGATGATTTATTGCTGCCGAAGAAAATACGTGGTAGTGCTGAGGTTGGGCATTTGAATGTATTTTTCACAAAAAGGATGGGTGTAGGACTGATGGGTTTGTGTTGGGAAAACGAAGCCTATCTTAGCTGAAGGGGCTGAATGTTTGCAACAGGCTCTTCAGGGTGTAACCTGGAGTTGGTGAACCACCGAACCCTCTGCCTTCTATCGTGGGCTCCCTCTCACCATGCGACACTGTGACAAGCTGTACACCTCTGGCTGGTGCAGCACTCACACAGACATCCACAGCCAGGGGCCCACCCGCCGCGTGCGATGAATGCTTCTCCCAGCCACTCATGAATTTACAAGAGAGAGGCTCCAGCCACATCCCCGAGTCCCCCACCTTTTACCCGAGGGCTGTGCCATCCTGCCCTGGTGAGAAGCCTGACCAATATCCATTTATAACCCAATCTGCACCGCCCTCAATGTGGAGGGTCCAAGCATCTGTTTTTGCTCCTGTGCAGATTTCCCACGCTCTTTCCACCTAAACACATTGTTTTAGGTAAAATATAGGACAGATGTATTGACTACAAAAAATTAGAGTTTAAGTGATTATAAGTGGTAGGCATAATGGCTAGAGATGGAGTTACCAAAAAAGTGCACAATCTAGGGCTACGTCTAGACTGGCATGATTTTCCGGAAATGCTTTTAATGGAAAAGTTTTCCGTTAAAAGCATTTTCGGAACAGAGCGTCTAGATTGGCATGAACACTTTTCCACAAAAGCACTTTTTGCGGAAAAGCATCCGTGCCAATCTAGACGCGCTTTTCCGCAAAAAAGCCCACTCACTATTTTCGCGATAGGGGCTTTTTTGTGGAAAACAAATTTGAGCGGTCTACACTGGCCCTTTTGCCCGAACGGGAGCAGCATAGTATTTCCGCAAAAACACTGACAATCTTACATGAGATCGTCAGTGCTTTTGCGGAAATTCAAGCGGCCAGTGTAGACAGCTGGCAAGCTTTTCCGGAAAAGTTGCTGATTTTCTGGAAAAACTGGCCAGTCTAGACACAGCCTAAGGGTATGTCTATACTGCCACTGTAGTTCAAACTAGGGTGGCTAATGTAGGCATTTGAACTTGCAAATGAAGCCTGGGATTTAAATATCCTGGGCTTTATTTGCATGTTCCCAGGTGCAATGAGGAGTGACGGTAGTTTGAATTAGGAGCTTTAATTCGAACTACCTAGCCCGTGCCGTGTGTAGCTGCGGGCAGGTAGTTTGACCTACGGGGCATTTAAAAATGGCGGCACCCGGGAACATGCAAATAAAGCCCAGGATAGTTAAATATTTAAATCCCGGGCTTCATTTGCAAGTTCGAATGACGACATTAGCCTCCCTATTTCGAACTAGGGTGGCTAGTGTAGACATACCCAAAGCTATAATGGGATTTGAATCTACCAGGCTGACCAATAAAAGTAGGCTACAGAGCTTCATTAGACCATCTCCCCTTGCCCAGGACCACCTCCCCGCTTCAAAGGCTTTGTCCTCCAGATGTGTTTCCAGATGCTGGGCTTGTGGGAGGAGAGAGGGCAGAATGTGTGGCCACTGTTCCCTCTGTTATATCCTTAGACACTGTGTCTGGAACAGAGGTTCCCAACCTTTTCGAGCATGTTAAAATGTTACAGGCCGCCCACGGGGAGTGGCAGGAAGCGGCGGCCAGCACGTCCCTTGGCCCACGCTGCTTTCTCAGCTCCAGCTCCTGCCCATTCACGGAGCGTATGGCGAGGGGGCTCTCGTGACCAAAGGCAGCTCCTGCCTTGGCACTCTGCCCTTGGCCAGGCACGGAGCCCTGGGGGAGAAAAAATAGAAAAGGAAAAGAAAGTAAGGATTGGGCCCACCCCAGGACTGGGAGAGGGCTGGAGCATAAACGGCAGCACAGCTGGTGGCAGGAGGAGGAATGGTGCTTTATGGGATATCACGATTCCATCCCAAGGGCAGTGTGCCTGCCGCTGGTCGCAAACGGTGAACCCTGGGCAAGAATTGCCTGGCGGAAAGTCCCAGTCTCCTTACTTTTCCTTTCCTTTTCTAAACTTTCCACGGACCCCCTACAGTACCGTTGTGGACCCCCAGAGGTCTGCAGATCACAGGCTAGAACCACCGGTCTAGAAGACCGGCATGTCCTGCAGAGCCTCCTGAAGTCCCTCGGCTGAGCAGTCCCTCTGGTGTGATCTTGTGCAATGGTGTCACGGTGTCCAGCAGCCCCTATTGTGTCCTGCTTGTGTGAGTGTCCTTGCTTGTTTGTCCCCTGCTTGTTAATATTCATTGAGTGCGCTCTGTCGTCAGCTATCCTTCCGTGAGTAGTTTGCTTCCTTTGTGTGCCCCTAGCAAACATAGCATATATTTCAGTAACAACCACACCGCAACATCCACACTGAGGATATACACATTTGGACAGAACAGTCGGTTTTAGCCGATTGTGACCCTTCATATATCTTGCAGGGCATGCTTTGTACGAAACATCTCCTAACTGAACGAGGGTGGTGACTACGGGATTCCAGGGGGTTGCTTCAGGGTTCAGAGTGCCACTGTGGATTTTGTGAGGAATTTATGAATGTTGGGTAATCTGAGTAGAGCTTGCAATGTCCAATTGACTCTATTTTGGTAAGAAGGTGTCACAGAAGAATTGTATTGGACTGATGGAGCCAAGCCATTTGCGTGACCACCATGATTATCTGTTGTGTTCAGAGAGTCCAGCTGTGTTTCTCCTTTAACCTTTATAGCTGTATAATTTTTTCCCGACTGTCATGGATTACGTCCCTGGGCCTCACCACAAGCTGTTTAAAAATGCTGAGAAGTTCAGAAAGTTTGTTCTGGAGAGGGTGAACATGCATAAACCGTCCCTGGATCCCAATTGCCCTCGAGACTTCATTGACGCTTTCCTCATCAAAATGCAAGAGGTAAGTGAGGGCAGCAGCTCTACCCCATTTCTGTGGTGGGGGCTGTGCATCTCATTGGGATTAATTTGTTCAGTAATAACATAGGACATGGCTGTGGAGAAGATCGTAGGGGAGACATGACCTGTTCCCAAAGAACGTACATTAGTACAGTCAAGCTCTGTTCTCTCCTTTCATCTGAAGAAGAAAACAATCCCCTTCTTTCTTGGACAAGATGCAAAGCACACCAGTGATGCTGCTTAACTCTCAGATGCTTTGGGCCCTTTGTGTGGGATTTTAATTATGATGGCAGGTGACCCACCTGCTGGGCTGAAGCATCTATCTGTGACTATCTGAATATATCCTACAGTTTTCCTCTCAGGGGTCTTCACCAAATCTTTCTGCAGGAGCAAAAGAATGACCAGTCCAACTTCAGCATGGGAAGTTTACTACGAAGCACAGTAGAGCTCTTTAGCGCCGGAACAGGGACAACCAGCGTCACTCTACTCTTTGGGCTCCTGATTCTTCTGAAATACCCAGAAATAGAAGGTAACGGTCACACACGCACACACAAGGTTAGGCCTGGAGAGATGTGAGGAATGCATGGACCAATGATACTCATGCATCTAGACTGGCAAGATTTTCCGCAAAAGCAGCTGCTTTTACGGAAAAACTTGCCAGCTGTCTACACTGGCCGCTTGAATTTCCACAAGAAACTGACGATCTCATGTAAGAAATCAGTGCTTCTTGCGGAAATACTATGCTGCTCCCGTTCGGGCAAAAGTCCTTTTGTGCAAAATCTTTTGTGCAAAAGGGCCAGTGTAGACAGCTCAGATTTGTTTTGCGCAAAAAAGCCCCAATCGCGAAAATGGCGATCGGGGCTTTTCTGCACAAAAGCGCATCTAGATTGGCATGGACGTTTTTCCGCAAAAAGTGCTTTTGTGGAAAAGCGTCTGTACCAATCTAGATGCTCTTTTCTGCAAATGCTTTTAATGGAAAAACTTAGCCCCCGTGTCCCCTTTGTGAGTCCCCATTGTGACTCACCAGATCACATCTGGCCTGGCCTGGCAGTGACCCATGTTGGTACCACATGGTGGTGGTTCATTGGTTTAAGTGAAGTGAGTTGGAGAAATGTCAGAGTAGTTTCCTGCTCCACTTCCCGGCAGGCAGGAGTTCTGCCTGTATTGAGAATCCGAGCAAAGGGTCCAAACGCTGAATGGGACCTTGTGATTGAATTCCTCTCTCAATCCAGATGGGTGTTGAGTTCCCCAGACAGGGGGAAGGAATTAATGGCTTGGAACCTCAGCTTGACACTGGCCAGGCTGAGCTTGCTCTGAGAGTCACAGACACCTTCCTGCTCCAGGGGTGTGAAATGGCAACGTCATTGCATCTTCAGCTTGCTGTTGCCAGGACTGCGTAAGGTTCTACATCTAAGCTCGGCCAGTGCTAGAGACTATGCCCAGCGCAGACAGATGCAGGAAAAAAATTCACCCCTCATGGGTTTCTTCCACCGGCACAACAGACACACTTCAGTGGGGAAAGTTTTAGGAACACTTTGTGGCAGAGCAGTTTGCTATATGGATTGGTGGTAATGTCCCATAATGCCTAGCGGGTATCATAACTGGGCGTGAGTACAATCGCTGCCTTGGAATTATACTTTCTCCTAGCTGCTCGGATCAGTCCCTTGGTAACACCTAATTGACAAGGTTTGTTATTATCGCACGTTGCAGTGTGACAGAATGGTGGGTAAATCTGTGGGAATTTGCACTGGAATGGGTTACCTAGGGAAGTAGTGGAATCTCCATCCCTGGAGGTGTTTAAATCCCGGCTTGACAAAGCCCTGGCTGGATTGATTTAGTTGGGATTGGTCCTGCCTAGAGCAGGGGGCTGGACTTGATGGCCTTCTAAGGTCTCTTCCAGCTCTACGATTCTATGATTCTAAACCTCACTCATCTGATGACAGAGAAAGTTCACAAAGAGATTGACCGGGTGATTGGGCGAAGCCGAAGCCCCTGCATGGCGGATCGAAGCCAGATGCCCTACACAGATGCCGTGATACATGAAATCCAGAGATACATCAATCTTGTCCCATTAAGTTTGCCACATGCTGTGACTAGAGATGTTCATATCAGACAGTATCTTATTCCCAAGGTCAGTGCTCAATACGTCTGTGGCAGATCAAGGTCTTTCACCTTTTCACTTTTTCATGTTGAATGATTCGCAAAAGAAATGCTTGAACTAGCTTCTGTGTGGCGGGTGGTTTGGTTGATTTCCTAATAATATACCGATGATGACTATGAAATCCCTCCACGCCCCGGCATGAAGGCGAACAGCAGTTGGCAATCTGCGTGCTGGACTTTATATCCAAGACAGTCTCAGGTTGTAGATGTGGAATAGAGAATATATTTAGCAGTGTACTCAGCTGTGTCAAACTAGCGTCTGCAAAAATTCTTTTGTTTTGTTGCCAAAGGGAGGGCATGTTAGGTGAGGTGCGTGCTGACTGTCCACAATATTGTGTGCTCCCTGTGCCAAGGGCTGCTCTGGTTCAGTTGACACACCTTGCCAATTCTAGCTGCGCAAGCATAGGGAGCAAAACTGCCCTCTCCCGGAGACTGTCCTGGTTACAACAATCTTGCAGCCTGCTGAGATGAAAGAGGGTGCTCATGCAGCCTACTCCCTAGCTTAGGTTTCCCTTGGATGTTTAGCTGGTTGTCCCTTGCTGCTCTTGGATGCTTAGCTGGTTGTCTACCACAGCCCCCAAATCTTCCGAGGAGTCATTGCTAGGAAACTCATTTCCATGTAGCTGTATTAAAATGTATACTGTTTGCTTGTGCCCGTTTTGCCAAGAAGTCGGATTAAGCCAAATGTCACTTTGAAATTATTCTAAAATAACTTTGCTGTGTAGACGCACCCTGGTTACCTCTCTTCTTCATTATATATCACTCCTCCTAAGATTTGGATCCTCTGCAAATTGTATCATTGATGATTTTGGATTTTCCTTCAGACCATTGGTAAAAACATTAAGTAGCATAGAACCAAGAACCAATCCCTTCAGGACCCCTCTGAAAAGGGGTCCTACCGGCAATTACATTTTGAGACCTATCAGTTAGCCAGTTTTTAATGTGCCATATTCAAGTTATATTGGTCTGGTTTTCATCAACCGCCCTCGTAATCTCATCAAAAAAGGACATCAAGTTATGGTCACACAACCTGTTTTCCAAATACCCACGTTGATTTGCATTAGTTGCATTATCCTCTATTTCTGTGTTGATCTAACCCCATAATACCTTCACTGTTGTCTTGTTTGGGATCCATGTGAGGTTGATAAGCAGGTGATTAATCAGCTCATCTCACTGGTCTTTTTAACAAATTGGCACATTCGTTTTTGTCCAGTCATCTGGAACTTGCCTGCTGCTTTCAAACTTACTGAAAATCTGCATGACAGTTCCTCAGCCAACTCTTTAAATACTCTTGAATGCAAGTTATCTGGACCTGCTTAACATGCTCCGAAGATACCAGTGGATAGGGATACAAGGCTAGAAGAGACCATTTTGATCATTTAATCTAACCTCCTGTGTAACACAGGCCAGAGGACTTCCCCAAAATAACTCCTCTGATGCAACTTCTCTCTCACATGCAGGGGTATATTGCTAGGTCTGATGCACTGAAAAATAGCAAGTTTTCGCTCCTGTATCTCACTGCACTTTACAAAGAGGAGGCGTCACTGCCCCCAGTGGAGAGACGCAGTAAGAAGGCTCTGAGAACAGATGTGGCTTGCCCAAAGTTGCTCTGTGGAGCCTATCTCTGCCAAGGAGTGCTACGAAGGGTGGATCGCAGTTCAGTGGGATTGACTCCGCTCAGGATATTTTAATATTGTTGCTTCTGCTTGAAAGCCTGAAGGTCAGGGGATGCAAGGAAATGAATTAAAACGAGAAGCCGCCGCACCATCCAGCTCAGTGAATTTTGATGATTTTGCTCTGCTGGGTGGTATCCACTGTCACACTTTTTATTTTTCATTTGCTAATGCAGGACACCACCATATTCCCTGCATTGAATTCGGTTCTATATGACAGCAAGGAATTTCCTAATCCAGAGCAGTTCAAACCGGAACACTTCTTGGATGAAAACGGTGCCTTTAAGAAGAGTGACTACTTCGTGCCTTTTTCTGCAGGTAAAGAACCCCTTTTAATTCCACATCCCAGACGTCTAGCTTTGCCTTGAACTGCCTAGTGGCTCTCATACCGTTTCCGTACTTAGTGTTCTCAGGCGTCCCATGAAGGAGAGCCACTCACACTAGCAAAGCACGCATCAGACTTTAGAGAGAGTTACTTACCGCTCATTGATCTGACGTGAGTTTTTTGACTAAAATAACCCTCTCTTTGCGGAAGAGAGAGCATAGAAATGCAGGGCAGGTAGGGACCTTGAGAGGTCATCATGTCCAGCATCCTGCACTTATGCAGGGCCACATAAATCTTGACCATCCCTGACACGTGTTTGTCCAGCTTGTTCTTAAAACCTTCCAGCGATGGGAATTCCACAAATTCCTTTACAAGTCTTTTCCAGAGTTTAACTATCATTATAGTTAGAAAATTTTTGCTAATATGCAACCTAAATCTCCCTGGCTGCAGATTAAGTCCATTGCGTGTCCCACCTGCAGTGGACCAGGAGAAGAGTGGATTTTTGCCCTCTTTATAACAGCCATGAACAGATTTGAAGACTCAGAGGATAGCCGTGTTAGTCTGTAACTTTAAAAACAAGTAGTCCTGTGGCACCTTAGAGACCAATAGAAATGTATACGTAGCTTTGGTGGGTAAGAGACACTTCCTCAGATGATCTGAAGACTGCTACATCACATCCCTCCTTCCCTAAATTATCTTTCTCGAGATTAAACATGCCCGGTTTTGTTAACCTTGCCCCAAAGCTCAGATTTTCTAAACTTTTGACAGTTTTGGTTGTTTTCCTTAGGATTCTCTCCAATGCAGCCACATCTTTCCTAAACCATGGTACGCCAGCTGAGGCTCACCAATGCATAAAGGTGTTTGCCCCCTTTATCAATGAAAGAGAGATATGCACAGTGATTGCCCCCGTAACAATTATTTATACTGGGCTTGCTAATCACCTGAAGTGTTTTATTAAGTATAAAATGTAGGATTTAAATAGATGCAAGTAAAAACAGACAGATCAAAGTAAGTTACTAAAGTAAAATAAACAAAAGGCACCAGCTAATTCTAATACATGAAGAAACTTGTTACATGCAAATTCTTACCCTAAACAGTTGTTCTTACCTCAGGTAAAATGCTTCAGGTCAGAGTTGATCTTTATTCAGGCCTGGCTCTACAGCTTTCCAGAGTTCTTTAGAGTTTCATTTTCCGACTTCTTTTGTGCGTTTCCTCTTAGGGTGCATGAGGCAGTTTCAAAGGCCAGCTGAAGACAAAGACCTCACAGCTTTTCATTACTTAAATAGACTTTCTCCCAAGGTGGGAACCCTTTTTCAGTCTCTCCAGCCCGTTGGGGAAAGTATGAGATTCAAGATGGACCCATTTCCCTAGTTTGCTCATGAAGATATAATGAAGATCTGTGTCCAAAGCCTTATTAAAACCAAGCTCTATCACACCTACTGATTTCAAATGGTATAGCAACAGGTGGCCTGTGTAAGCCATAACCCAGCCACTTTTCATCCAGGCCCAGGCTGGACGTGGGGGCTAACTTCACTGTGCCTCGTACTCCAGCCGGGGAGCAGGGCTGGCGTGCAGGGGCTGACCCCACGCCACTGGTTCTCTGGGTGGTGAGTGGGACCAGGGCGTGGGGGGCTGACCCTGTGATGTGGGAGCTCACCACCCCTCCCCCGCCATTGCCCACCCACCTGAAATTGGGGCACACCCAAATGGGCCCTTCTGCCTATGCTGGTGCTGTTTCCCCTCTGTTTTCTAGGCCACTGAAGAAGGAAACCGATTCAGTTGGCATGATTTGCTCTTGACAGATCCTTGCAGGCTATTCCTCATAACTCTGTTACTTTCTTACAAACCGACTGCTTAATAATTTGTTCCCATACCTTTCTGGGCTGACTGGATGACAGTTTCCCTGGGTCCTCTTTGCTAAAGACAGGAGCTGTGTCTTTCCATTTCCAGTCACCTGGGACCTCACTCATCCTTGAAGATAATTGCTACCAGTTCTGACATTGCCTGACTTAGTTCCTTCGGTTCACTGGGCCCCGCTGGCTTGAATAAATCTAATTTATTTCAGTCGTCTGTGACCTGTTCTGCCCCTATTTTGGAGTGTGTTCCTTCCCCCTTGTTAATACTAATTGTGATGAGTAGCAGGTCACCTCATTATGTACCTCAGCCGCCTTCATGTCATCAGTGAGGAACAACTTAACTTCTCTGGTTCACGCCAAGATACAGAGTCCCACGGTCAGTCTGTTAATAATACCTCTGAGCCATCTTCCACTATGCTATTTGGATGCCTACATCTCTCTGCTGGTTCCTTCTCTCCTTCACCTAATTCCTCACCGTGTCACTCCCCCAGAGAACTGTTCCGCTCCTTTGGAAAGTGGATAATCTATTCCTCAAACCTCACATCTTCCTGCCTCCCCATCTTCCCACCCTGCACCCCACACTGTGTTCAAAATAGCAATATAAGGAACTCAAACTTTCAGATTCTCTGGGAATGGCTTCTTAAAGCCCAGTATGTTGCCGTTCCTTCCTGAACTCTGAGGAAACCGCCATTATCCTGCGTGTACCTCCCCTCAATTACTCTGTGCGTCTAACTTTAACCAGAGAGTTTGCTTCAGTAATAACTATATTTAAGATGTGCTGCAAAGGAAGATCTCCAACCAGCACCAATGCAAAATTCCCTTTTCGTTTCAGGGAAACGGATTTGTGTGGGAGAAGGCCTGGCTCGGATGGAGCTCTTTTTGATACTGACCGTGATCTTGCAGAACTTCACCTTGAAACCTGTTGTTGACCTCAAAGACATTGATATTACTCCAGTAACGACTTTTGTATCAAATGGACCAAAGTCATACCAGCTCTGTGTTCTTCCTCGATAATGGTTACCTCACTATCCGAACCTGTGCGTCAATTTGATTCTCTTTGCTTCTGGACTCATGAATTGAAACACAAATCACTAGTCTTGTATGTAATTTGGATTTAACAAAATGATGTCATATCAAAAATTAACCATTCAACTGACTCAGTTAGTCACATACAATAGCACTGTCGTGTTCTCAGACACGCTGATGTATGAACAGATGCTGGAGATGTATTTCTATCATTTGTGGAGTTGCTGAAAATCTATGGAAAATTCATTAGGCAGCTATATGGCTCCTTTGTTGACAAGGGGTTAGTAACAGTGTTCAGGCCTTCCACTCTGACCAATCAATGAGAATAAATTGTGATGATGTCATGCTTTTGACTCAACATCCTTCTTTGATAGGCAGAGTTTCTGTGGAAGGAGAGTTCTCAGAATCCTTCTTAGAATCAAACATGATTTGGGGATACATTAACAAGAGTGTTGTGAGCAAGACACAAGAAGTCATTCTTTTGCTCTGCGCTGACTAGGCCTCAATTGGAGTATTGTGTCAGGTGTTGGGCAGCACATTTCAGGAAAGATGTGGAAAAATTGGAGAAGGTCCAGAAAAGAGCAACAAGAATGATGAAAGGTCTAGAGAACATGAGCTATGAAGGAAAACTGAAAGAACTCGGCTTGTTTAGTTTGGAAAGGAGAAGACTGAGAGGGGACATGATAGTGGTTTCAAGGGTGTCACAAGGAAGAGGGAGAAAAATTGTTCTCCTTGGCCTCTGATGATAGGACAAGAAGCAATGGGCTTAAACTGCAGCAACGGAGGTTTAGGTTGGACATTAGGAAAAACTTCCTGCCTGTCAGAGGGTATAAACACTGGAATAAGTTGCCTAGGGAGGTTGTGGAATCTCCATCTCTGGAGATATTTCAGAGCAGGTTGGACAGACACCTGTCAGGTATGATCTCGACAGTGCTTGGTCCTGCTGTGAGGGCAGAGACCTGGACTCAATGACCTCTCGAGGTCCCTTCCAGTTCTAGTGTTCTGTGATTCTATGATTCTCCTGCTTTTTTTCAGATTTAAACTGACTACAGTGTTAATAAAGTTGCTTCTCATTAATTTTCCTACTCGCCTCAACACTTCCATTTATGTAGTTTTTTGTGATACATATTCCAGGGCTGGGACCAAGGCGGGAGGTGCAGATCCCTTCACCAGATACTCACTGAATCAACAAGAAGCGATGCCATTTTAGATTTGGCATCGGTGCGTAGTGAGGACCTCATAGAAAAAAAATGGGTGTAAGGATGCAACCTTGGTTTGAGAGACCACAAGCTAATTCAGTTTAAACTAAATGGGTGGAAACATAAAAATAGATCTGCAAATAGGGCCCTTACATTCCAGCGCAAATGAGCCAGGAAAGCAGTCTGGACTGAAGAACTTTATGGATTTGAACGATTCTCTGCCCGGCCTCCAATGACCTGGTAGCGGCCATCTCAGACATAGCGCTCAACACTTTAAAGGGCAATATCCCCCTGAAATTGTGCCAAATAAGCATGCTTAAAAAAAAGCCGGGGGCGATCAAAAAACTGAGCAATAAAAGACTGTCCCTCAAAAAGAAGCTAATTGTAAATCAGTCTGGAGGTTTTATCAACCCCTTCTCGAGCTTTGCCCTCCCTCTACTGTCAGGTCTGTTAACTAACAGATAAAAGCTAATAGTAAAACAGCACTTGGGGGCTTTGTTGAGCTTCGCACCCCCTCTACCGGCAGGAACTGAGAATGGGACACACTGAAAAAAATGTATCTGGTGCCTAGCCATCAGCTGGAAGGTGCCTCTGGAGCGGAAGAAAGCATTAGAACCACAACCACTCAGCGGCTGCATTTGGCAATGAAAGACATTCTTTAAAGAACCGGCTTAGCCGACTTCGAGAAGGCGAAACTTTACGAAAGGGTCCTGCAAAGATACCTGATGTTGGACAAGCAGGGGGCAGCGGAAAAGACTCAAATAAGCCTCTTTCTCCTTGAGCACGCGAGAGAAGCGCCCAAGGAAAATCGTCCCCCAAAGCCTCATGGAGCCCAACGGACATTGTGGTTCGGGATGCGTTGCAGGGCGTTAATCCTCGCCACACAAAAAAAGCTGAAATATTGTTACATAAACTCGAACAGTATAAAGATGTTGCCTCTTGGATCACTGACAGAAGCTTTGTGTCTCACATACTCAAATTAGGGGAGTTACAGGCTCTCATTCTTCCGCTCCTAGAGAGTGGCAGGCTTGTAGGTAAGGTTGTGTCTAAACTACAGCCCTCTTTCGATATTTAGACATGCCCAAAGCCTTGGTGAAGCTAAACGCTCCAACATCCATTGTGGGTCATGTTATCAATAAAGAATATTTAGAACATTTAAAATCGGGGCTAGAGCTGGCCAAGGCTGTAAGTAGCGGCACCTCTTTTAACCAGCCCTCCACTAAAAATCGGAAAATTGCGTGGTTAACGGTGTAAAATAAGACACTTAACCACAATTCAACTTTATTTTAGCGTTTTATTAATGCGCCTCTTTAAACTCGCAACAAGACAAACGGGTCTGGATGGGCTGAAACACGTTTGAAGCAAGCTTGGTGGTTTTCCTTTTACAAACCGCGTCACCATGCAGTCGTTTTCCAGTAAACCATTAGAGTACAATTTCTAAATCTGATTAAAAGATAAACTCCTACCGCATTTCTTTATATACAGTGATAACCACAGGTTACAGCTAAAGGGTTCTGGAGTTGTCTCTGCTGATTTTAATGAAAAGGAAACTGAACGGCTACGTGATGTGGTTTATGAAGGGCCAGATTCGTATCAGGTTCCTCATGCTGAGTTAAAAGCATTTGCGGAAATTATGCCAGTCTAGACGTAGCCTATGTCTACACTGCAGCGTATTTGCACAAAAGCAGCCATTTTTGCGCAAAAACTCATGGAGTGTCCACACTACAAGTGCGTTTTTGCACAAGAAATAGCACAGGAGATCCTCAGAAGAGTGGATCTTTCTGCACACGAGTTATTCCTCTTTCTACAAGGAATAAGCCTCTTTGCGCAAGAACTCTTACACAAAAAGGCATGTGTGGAAGGACACAGATGCTTCCTTGTGCAAGAGAGCCCATGGCAGTGTGGATTCGCTCTTGCACAAGAACTTTTTGCGGAAGATCTCTTCCCATTATATATGTAACCCTTCTGCTGGGTAGGCCTGGCAGTAACCAGAGCTGGGTTCAATATCTTGGGGTCCATCTTACACAGAACTGGCTCAAGCCCCCACCCAGTAATCTGGGAAATTCACACACCCCTGGGTGCCTCTGAGAGCCAATGCTTCCCCACTCAAGCACTGAGTCTGAGTGTAGGAAAGAAACAGTTAATGAAACAGAGAGAAGTCATACAGCATTACTTGGGGAAAACACCACAAACAGAGTTCATAACCCAAACATGAGCTAAGCCCCCTACCCCCAGACAAGAATCGCCTGAAGTCCAAAGAGTCCGACACCCCAAAAGTCTCTGTCCCTGGTCTGTGCCACCCAGAGTCCCAAAGTTCACCCACAGGGTTTCATCTCCCAACCTGGGTAGAAATGGGGGTGGGGATATAGAGAGGGGGCACCTTATGATACTCTGCCATGCTCCACCAGCTATCTCATCCCATGTCACCAGACCAGACAAGAATCGCCTGAAGTCCAAAGAGTCCGACACCCCAAAAGTCTCTGTCCCTGGTCTGTGCCACCCAGAGTCCCAAAGTTCACCCACAGGGTTTCATCTCCCAACCTGGGTAGAAATGGGGGTGGGGATATAGAGAGGGGGCACCTTATGATACTCTGCCATGCTCCACCAGCTATCTCATCCCATGTCACCAGACGCTCCGCTGGTCACCTGCC